CAGGAAGAAGCTGGAGAGGAGTATGGAGAAGAATAATGTACACGAGGTGTGGAGAGGATTGAAATATATCTCGGGCCATGGTGAAGGTGGGGATGGGTTTGGGAGACCGGGCCTGGGCGAATGAATTGAATGTACATGAGGAGGACATTGATAGCCTTACACACTGTATCTCGGAGTACATAAATTTCTGTGTTGAGAATACTGTGCCAGCCAGGAGAGTACGGTGTTTTCCTAACAACAGGCCATGGGTGAGCCCTGAGTTGAAGGCATTGTTGAATGAGAAAAAGAGGGCTTTCTTCTCAGGGAACAGGGAGGAACTGAGTAGAGTCAGGAATTGAAGTATAAGATCCGGAGATGCAAGGTTGGGTACAGGAAGAAGCTGGAGAGGAGTATGGAGAAGAATAATGTACACGAGGTGTGGAGAGGATTGAAATATATCTCGGGCCATGGTGAAGGTGGGGATGGGTTTGGGAGACCGGGCCTGGGCGAATGAATTGAATGTTTTTTAATAGATTTGATTCTGCCCAGTCCCCTCTACACACCTCTCTAGGCCAGTTGTCTCCTCCCAGCAGCAGCTGTTTATACCTCAGCTATACCTTGCCTCTCCTCCCACTGTCACCAAGGGCTTTAAACAGCCCACAGCCCTGGACCAGTCACCGCCCACCCGTTCCCTCTGCCTCACTGTGGACCAGGTTAGGTGGGAGCTAAGGAAGATTAAGGCCACAGGCCCTGACCATATTAGTTCCAGGCTCTTCAGGGAGTGTGATGACCAGCTTAGTGAAGTGGTTCTGTACATGACAGAGACAGGAAGAGACTTAAGTCTGTACATGTCTTAAGAGAGTCCCAGTTCTGTGGAAGATTTCTTGTGGGGTTCCGGTTCCCAAAATACCACTACAGACCTGTTGCCTTAACCTCCAACCTGATGAAGACCATGTAGATGATCGTCCTTGGTCACCTCCCTGCCCAAGTGAGCTCAGAGCTTGATCTGTTGCAGTTTGCATATCGACCTGGCATTGGGGCGGATGACGCCATCATCTATATGTTGCATCGAGCTTTATCTCACCCAGAGTCCCCTAGGAGTACTGTGAGGGTCATGTTTTTTGACTTCTACAGTGCTTTCAACACCATTCAGCCGTCACTGCTGAGGGGAAAGCTGGAGGGAGCAGGTATGGATCAACATCTGGTTGCATGGACCATCAACTACCTCACAGACAGACCACAGTTCGTAAGGCTGTGTGACTGTGTGTGGGATGTGGTTGCTTGTAGCACGGGGCCCCCCATGGTGCTTTCCCCCTTCCTGTTCACCTTTTACATGTCTGACTTCAAGTACAACTCCCACTACTGTCGTCTGCAAAAGTTCTCTGATGACACCGCCGTTGTTTTGTATCGCGGGGGGGTTATTACTGACTTTGTGGAGTGGTGTGGAAAAAATCATCTGGTATTGAACGCCAGTAAGACAAAGGAAATGGTGATTGATCATTGGCTGAAATTATTACCAGTCACGCCGGTGAGTTTTCAGGGCTCAGACATTGAGATTGTGGACACCTTCAAATATCTGGGTGTCCACCTCAATAATAAACTGGACTGGTCTAACAATACGGATGCCCTGTATAAGAAGGGACAGAGCCGCCTCCATTTGCTGAGGAGACCGAGGTCCTTCGGGGTGTGCAGAGCACTCCTTCAGACATTTTGTGATACTGTAGTGGCCTCTGTAGTCCTCTACGCTGTGGTGTGCTGGGCGGGAGGTAGCACGGACAGAGACAGGAAGAGACTTAAGTTGGTTAAGACTAACACTGTGAACTATTGTAAGAGAGTAAAAATCAGCAAGGAGCTTTCTGGTGTGGCAAGCTGTCAAATCAGTTCTCCTGTCAGTCCACCAGCTGCTGTCAGTCAGTGTCCTCACTTAACCCTCTCCCCCAAGAAACATACACAAACATACATGCAAATGATCTGTCTTTACGCAGCAGCAAGGTAATTAAATCCCAGGCACTTCTGTTGCAGTTTTATTGTTGTGCGTCTCTTTAGCTCTCTTTCCTTTCTCTTCACATATACACACACTTTCTTTCACCAACACCATCCACACCTTCTCCACCCTTGTGAAGTTGACTATTCTTGAAGCAAACTTGTTTCCTTATGCATTGGACAGCGCAGTTTTGCTGCCACGAGTTGTCTGTGTGACTATATGTGTGTATCAACTTTTTTTGGTATTTTTCTGGCACTTATGCCCCTTAAGTTTATGTAACTGAAGCTGGCACTGGGTCGCTGGGGCAGATCTAGAAAATTTTGGACAGGGTGGCCAGGCTGGGGCATGAACTCAGAAGGGCGGCACATTTGAAATATATGTAAAATGTAAATGAAACCCCTAGTTTCATGAAACAATACATTACTGACAATCATATTGTTTATTATATGTAAGCTAACTTTGGCTGCCCTTCTTATTTATTCCCAGCCCGGGACGTCGCTGCTGTACAGTGGTTGCCCCCCACTGATGTGAATCGAGCCAAGTACAGTACTCCACAACAACCCAATTGGAGAAATGAATGTAAATATCATGCTAGATCAGTGTTCAGAGGGCAGACCTGCAGGGGGGTGGGGGGTGTATCTTTTTAGCCTGTCTTCCTCTGCTTGCTGGTGTGTGGAACTGTCCTGGCCACTGCTTCCAGGCTCAGGTTCACTAGGGGTATGTTTAGTGATGGCATTGAAAGGTAACGCACAATAGAAAATGGCTGATATTTTGGCCTGGGTTTCCATCAGCACTCTGCTGGCTCATGTCAGCTTTGATGTTGCACTGAACTATGGCAAGCCATCAAGCTCAGCAAGTGTGTGTTGGCATACGAGTGCGTTAACATGTTCAGTGGAGTTTCAGTACGATTGGCTGAAAATACATGGGTCAACCTCGCTTTGATGTATGGTGGTTACTTCTGCCTGCATCACTGCATTTTCCTTAAATGTAGGGTCTAACGAATGTATATACTATGGTCACATGGATTCTGTACTGGCTCCTGTAGACTTGTTTCCATGGTTACACTGAGGTACCTAGCAATATGACTTAGTAGTGAGAGAACGAGAGAGAGAGAGAGAGAGAGAGCTATAATGTGTTAAGGCATCTAGAACGTGTTAATTATTGTACATGTTAATGTGTGCTTACGTTTTTGTATGTGTTAACACGCACGCCCACTAAGCATGATGGCTTGTCATACTGAACGTATGTTTCCAACTTTGGTTACTGTCAATCAAACTTGATCCTTGTCTTAACTGTAAGCCTGGGTAAGCCATGCCCTTGGTAGACACATGAGAGAATAGCAGTCATGGTGCATTATGAGACATTTCTGCTTTGTGCATTTCTGTTTTTTTTGGGGGTGGGGAGGTTGTGTTGGCGGGGTGGCCAAATGGTAGGGGAAATGCTGTGCATGCGTGATATGAAATAAAGTAAATTTGAACAGTATCAGTTATAAAGCACCAGTAAAATGTTATTTGTATTTAACGCAACAATTTGTCATTGTTTTCATCACATTTTAACTCTGGTAGGGATGGCCCTTCAGATTCTGGCCACCCCCTTGGCTCCAACTATGGATAAGAGCCACAGAAAATTGTTGGGATAAAATTAACTTGTGAATTGCTTCATTTTTGTACATTTTTCTGCTGTATGTATGCATAAATAGTGGATCAATATACATTTTTTTTTACAACATACTGTTCTATGTTAACATTTTCAGACATGATTACTGAAGATCTGTATATTTTTATTGGCACCCGTGGTGTTTTTCTTGTATTTTGGCTTTGTACTTTGTTAAATTGACAAAATGATAAATCAGACTTAGTTAGGGTAAGGACAGTTGAATACAAAGACAAAAATGATTCCAAAGAAAAACAGCAAAAATGACATGATATCAGTCAAAGTAGTACTGCTCTTTGCACTTAATTTAATGTAACAAAATCTGTGCTCGATTAGCTGCCAATTCGCGAACACTGCAGAGGTCATTTGGAGTCTTTTTCTTTTAGAAAAAACCTGGCTCTCCCCTTCTCACAGAGGATTAGCTGGTGGGTGCCACTGTATCTTCTGATCTATGAAGCAAGCGGAACCCAAGAACTCATAGATTTTATTTATTTATTTTTTGGCCTCATTCACCATCTGTGAAAGGTAAAAGGGGCAAGATGTGAGAGAGACAGAGGGTGAGTTGAAAACAAAGACAACAGCCCATGAAAAGAGTAATGTTAGAGATGGAGGATGACACCTGGAGAAGGACATAAGACAAAGACTTGGTAATCGGGGGAAAGAGGAGAAGACAGAGCTGAGACCAGATTGCAGATCTATATGAAAGAGTGAGGGGAAAAATGTGGCTTGAGGGAATCGTGTATCAGTGTGTCCCTAAGCTCTGTTTGTCCTGATTAGGTTGTAGTGTTGGTGTTCTAGTTTGGGAACAACCGTTTTATTAATGAGGACTTGCTTTCCTGCTCACACACTCACCCATAGCTACACAGGCACACAAGGGGAGAGTATCTGCAAGTGGCCACACACTGACACAGTGACCTAGTCCACAAGATGTAGGTTACACTTTCTTGCAGCCTTCGGGTTTCTGCTCGTACACACAGCAGCTGACTGTTGCTGACACAGAGCTACTCTATTTTATAGTGTCACTGTTTACTGAGTGCAAAACCAAAGATTTGGCTGTAGACAAATAGAAATAAGTCTGCTCTTTGTAATAAAGAAAATGTTTGAATCAATGAAACTTCACTGTTTCTTATTTTCTTACATACCATTATCAGTCAATTGCAAATGTATTCCAGTCAAGTAAAACATTTTAATGTGCTGTATATCCCATGAATTTCAAACATTTCATTTGAATAGAGTACAAATAAGTAGAAACAGAATCAAAAACACGTTCTCATTTGAACTGGATTTGTGTTTTCCGATTGCATCTAAAGCATTTCCTCTACAGATCTGACAGTGATTGACTATTCAAAAACAGGAGATACTTAATTCATTTGTACTATTTTAGGCTTTGCAGAAGTTGGCGAGTCAATACCTAAAGAGAGACTGGCCTGGAATCAACCCTGATGACCAGAGAACAGACTACAGGTAGGCTTGTGCCCATACAGCCATATTTTCCTTAAAGCTACAGTAAAAGCTCAAATTTGCTTCACTTCACTACTGCTGTGCTCTGCACCCTCTCCAAATTGCTTGCACCTACAGCCAGCTGCACCAGGCAGATGAAAGCCAAATCTGTGCTTGGCTAGATTTATCTAGAATGCTAGGAGAAAAACTGAATGGTATACAACACAATCATGAGTCATTATTTACTGTAACATAGACTCTGAAATAGAAAACCCCAAGCTGGGAAAAATGTATTATGAAAACCAGAATTGAAAGAATTGGCTCTTAGTGTAGGTTCAAGCAACTACGGCAGCAAGTCCTTGCTCCATCTAGTGCATGGAGATGCAGTTACTTAGTCCTACAGTAGTAAGCATCTGCAAGAAAACTTTTTTCTAATTTATTGCTTTTGAGAGTATGACTTATAGAACAGCAACTGACCAGTGTTGTGCTGCTTCTGTCTGCCAAGGAACGTGTACGCAGTATGGAGGTCCTACTTAGAAGGTACAGTGCAGGTGAGCCAGTCCAGGCTCAATGTATGTGACAACTACAAGAGTCAAGTATCAGATCCTGCTAAGACTGTTAGACTCTACAAGGAGCAGCAACTCAAAAAGGTGAGTGGATGTGCAGAAACAGGGTTAGTTTTATAGTTTCCTGAAGCAGTCTGTGCTCTTTATCCCTCTATGTAGAGTCCTTTTATGTGCTCACACTGAGTTAACGTGACTCACGCCGGCCTCCTCTTTCTTTGCCTGTTTTCCTATCTCCCTTCACAGACGATAGATCAGTTGAGCGGCATTCAGGCTGAGCTGCAGGAGTCAGTGAAGGAGTTGGCCAAAGCCAAGAAAAAATACTACGATTGTGAGCAGGTTGCCCACGCTGTACGAGAGAAGACTGACATAGAGGCCAAGTGAGTTCACCATGGCGCTGTGCACACGTGTGTGTGTGTGTGTGTCAGTGTCAGAGATATGATTGCACAGATGGTCTCCACTGACAGAAAGAAGAGCATCAAGAAAGGAAAGTTGGCTAACCTCACAGTGTGTGTGTGTGTGTGTGTGTGTGTGTGTGTGTGTGTGAAAGAGGGAGAACATTAAGGCTTAAAGAAGCGATCACTTATGGTTGTGTTTATGAGAGAGAGTCAGACAGACACCACAAGTATGAGAATCTAGTTTGGTATGAATCCAACAAATAAACTAAACCTAAATTGTGTCTGTAGATATTTAAGATGCATGTTTTCTAATAGTTATAATAGCTCTTCCAGATTTTAAATGTTTTCTTTGTTGCTTTCGAGATAGATTAAAATATATACATGACACTAGTGTTTGTCTTTTGTGTTTTCTAAAATTGTAAGCCTAAGAGGCTGATCAGTGTTGTTTTCCTCTCAGCCCTAGGTAGCAGTAGCTATGGTGACATTTTCACTTCACTGAATTCTCGGCTCCTGTTAGCGCCTGCATCGATTGCCTAGTCTTTTTCTGTTCTGTATCACTCTGTAGAAAGCCACAGAAATTACTGCATTGCCTCTGTGCCATTATGCGAAAGTGTGTGTTTGGGTAAAAGGAACACACAGGAAGAAATTGGTGTGAATGCAGAGACACAGATTTACTTCCTAACATTACTCAATGCATTAAGCAGGGTAACATAGGTAGACACAAATCACACATACTATATAGGCAAGTGGCACACATGATCACACAGCCTAATGTGTTTTGCGTGTGTGTGGGTGGGGGGGTAATGGATCTGTTTTTATGCATGTTTGTGCAGTAGAACAACAAAGCAGACCACACACATCCACACAACCTCACTATATCATTTTCTCTAGCCAGTCTTTCTGATGTCACCACTGATATAAATCATAATGGCTGGATCAGATTGTGATTTATTGCTTTTAAGCCCCAGCCTATTCAGGATCAATTTATGATGACTGCTCTGAAAAGATCAGAGTTACGATGTCATAGTAAGGCCTGGATCTGTTTCTCTTTTCTACTTTACCTTGTTACTGTTATGTTTAATTAAATATATCAATGTGAGTGAATAGAATGTCAAGCATCTTTTTTTTTTTCAGGTCTAAACTGGGTCTTTTTCAGTCAAGAATTAGTTTACAGAAAGCAAGTGTAAAGGTAAGAAGGCTCACGCACAACAACACAGAGCTTTCAAGCAGACTCTTTTAAACCAGGATACAAAAACAAAATTGTTGGACTTTGTCTCTCTAATGAGCCCCGACTGTAAAAAGAGACTGATGTACTTCACTTAAAGCTTAAGAGCTCCACTCTCTTACTGTAATGAGCTATTGCGATATCATCTGTCTCACTTTCATTTCAGTTGAAAGCTAAGAGAAGTGACTGTAACTCCAAGGCAACACATGCCAGGAATGACTACTTGCTCACGCTAGCTGCTGCCAACGCTCACCATGACCGCTACTACCATACAGATCTACTGCACTGCATTCAGGTATTTGCAGAAAGACTTGAAAGTGAACAGAGGAGCTCAAATGTTTAAAATTATACTTGTTACATTTCAGTTAATAAAAATATAATAGGCAGTTGCTATCAACCTCAAGCCCCTGAATCGAAGTCACATTGTGGCAAGTATCGGCAAACATCAGATCACTAGCAAAGAGAATTGATATAGGATCGTACTGTGATGAGAGCGGAGATTTTCACCCCTAGACAATACCCAGAGGGATTCACCAGAAATTGTGTCATGTTTTCTGGTCTCCAAATTAGTTGGGAGCTACTCTGGAAAGCTCAATGTAAGATGTCTCTCTTTTTTTCAGCACCCAAAGTTAAACTCTCATTCAGGATCAGTGAATTGAATTTTACTCAACACCAGAACTGTAAAAATGATATGTGGAGTACTGCCTTAATCTGGCAATAATCTCTTTATTAGTCAGTCGGGGAGACGAGCACATTAGAACACATGGAGGTGGTTTATCACCTGTAGTCCTGCTGTTTTTATTTGTATGTCTAACCACAAAGTAAGCCGTGTACACTAGTTTAAAACTTTTAACGTTCATCTCCCTAATATCTCTCATTCTCTGTCTCAGTTGTAGATGTCTGATTCTATCATGGCTTTTTTTCCCACTTCATGTGTTTCTCTTTTACTCCTGTTCTGTCTTCAGATGGTTCCTGATCTTTGTTTCCTTCTCCCACACATACTCTGCCTCAGGCCAGTGTGAGCATCTATATTATGAGGCCATTCTGAATAATAGATCCTTTGGTCCTTGTGACAAAAGGACAGGACTGCAGGGAAATATTCACATAGACAGAAACATGTATGCAAACTCACAAAGACAACGGGGGACATTGCTAGAGGGAAGCAATCTGCTCCTCCTCTCTCCCTCCTCTGCTGTTTTTATTTGCGGTGTTTACAGATTCTGACCTGAAAGTCGTTGATAACAACACTCCCAACAGAGGGACTGAAATCTGCATCACAAGAAATTCTGCATTCTTTTCATAGTTTGAGATATTTTTGCACCTTTGAGGTGCAAACACAACATCAGAATATGCCCCAACAGCAAAAATTCAACCTAGATATAGTAAGTGCAGTATATGGCTTCTATTTTCAATAGTATTTATGACCGTCCTATGAAATCTGTGCTCTTAGTGCATTACCATGAGCATTATTCATTGGGTATCACTCTGAAAGGATAGTTTGGAATATCATATAGTGGGGATGTGTGGCCACCATTCAGAAATGTTAGACAGCTAATTCTGCAGCACTGAAAAAAATCAAGTTGCTTCAGTTAGATCAGTACTTTTTCTCTCCTTAATGTTACACCAGACAGGAGGATAATCAACTGTATGTGTAAAGATGGCTGAAAGATAATAGGACCTGCTTTCTTGGGATGATGGATGAGGATGCTTGTAATTGAAAGCCTTGATTAGCGCTGACGTTCACTTTATAAATACTACCCGTGCTGAGTTCTGCACTAGGCTGCAGCAGTAACACATCTTGTAGTGAGCGCTACTGTCCTTGTCAATGCGACAGCTGTAGTGAAAGGGCAGAGGAGGACATGGACTGCTCCACATCTCCCTCTGCTGTCAGCAGCCAATGCTGTTATTACTATCTTTTAAATACCCTGTTACACACACACGCACATTTAGGCGTACACCTCTGCCACCCTGTCTGGTGAACTGTGCTGTACTTATCGTTCAAGCTGATGCGGTCATTCAACCCAAACACGCACACCCACTGACCGTGATATGAGGACGGGGCTTTTTCTGGAAGCTGACTCACTGTTATTTCAACACTACCGTAGATGGATGAAAAGAGGAGGAGAGGAAAAGAAGGGGGGGAGGAAATGAGCTGAAAGATGAGGGAACATTTAGAGTAAAGGCAGCCAAAAACCCACCCGTAATGACATAACTTCTGTGTCAATACCCCATAGTTCTTTTTAAGTCTTTATGCGTGCATAAGTGTATACATGCTGCAATTTTAGGGGTTTGTGCATATTTAAAAAAGCATGTTTTGTGTTTATCTGTATAAGAACAACACTAAGTGCTACTTTGAGAGAGTAAAACACATCCTTGTTGAGAGTTAGTGTTTGTAAAGTACTTTGACCTGAGGAGTGTATGCGTATTTGAGAACTGGTGTGTGCTTGTGTCTGCTGACTGTGTTTTGTTGAATTGGAATCTGAACCCCTTCACCTTCCCTTGCAGCTGTGAGAATGCTGTCCAAAGAACACTTCTCTCTCTCACACACACACACACGCACAAACACACACACACACGTATCACTTTTTTTCTTTGCTCTCAACCACTAATACCTTTTATGCCTTTTCAAGCGCTCACTCTTCCCCTCTTACGTCCTCTCCATTAGCCTCTTTCTCCCCATGTTTCTCTGCTATCTGTCTGATCTGTCTGTTTGGCAGTCTGGGCTACAGCTTGGCAGCACTACCCCAGCTCCCCATAGAAATGCTCTTTATTTGGACTGCATATTTCATTAAAATGTCTTTATATTGGCGCATTGGAACCTCTAATGATAAGCTGTGAAATAAAAACATCTACTCGGTTTCTGTCTTTCCTTTGACTTTCTGCCATTTCCATCTCTTGCCTCTCGCTCTTTGTCTCACTTTCTTTCTCTTCTCCCTTTTTTTTTCTTTCTTGGTTCAGTTTAATTCATAAAAGTCTGTGTTCTCCGATGCACCATATGGCAGCATACCATGCCCCGCATTTAGAAATGTTTTTTCTGGCGTGGCATCGTTTGTGTGTAATAGATCAACTTTTAACATGGTTCAACAGATCTTTATTTCTGTTGGACTTTTATTTAAACACCCGCCCAAGTGTTTTCAATTACTCTGCTGATTAGACCTCGTAAAAGCCGGGTGGAGCTGTGCTTGAAGTCACATGATGTCACAAAAATATGGACCAATCAAATGAAAACAATTTGTTCCACTCTAACAGGTACAGCAGAGGTAATTAGAAGGAAAGGAATCTGTCAATCAGTCAGTGCCCACCTACACTTTGGAGAAGTCCTTTCTTCAACGCATGGGCCTTAAGGCAGATACTATAATGCATCTCTCTAGTGTTACTGCCGATGCTTGCGATTTAAGTGGTTTTAAATTGATGTCATTATGTAAAGATTGGGCAGTTTGCTAAATGAGGCATGAACACTATAAATCTTCCCTGTTTTCATTTTAACATTATGTTTGATGCAATTCTTTAAGCATATTTATGACCATGTAAACATAAACTTGAATAAGGATTCACTCATGCTATGCCTTTAGGAGAAACACTGTTGAAATTCTACTCGTCCCACCAAATTAAACAAGCTGTGAGAATTTTATAGCTTACACAACCCTAAAGGTGAAATGTTCCCCCAGGCTCAAAAACAACAGGAACAGGAAGGACCCAGGCATTGTTATGGTCAGACTCCCAGTTCAAAAAACTGCAGAAGTTAAATGGTTGCTGGAAGTTTGATAACATGAAAAATGGTCTAGTGTGCCTGTTGGTGTGGCGGTGATAAACTCAGTGGCCCATCACGTCTCAATGAATGAACAAGTAAACTACTGAAGCATTTGTAGTAACTGGTTTTATTCATCTACTCTTTGAGCCTCTCTTTCTTGTTATCTTCTCCTAGTTCCCTTGGACTCATCACTTAATTATTAAGGATCATGGAATTACATTGAATTCATCCTTTCTTCACTGTGACGCCCAGTTCTTTCTCTCTCTCTCTCTCTCTCTCTCTCTTTCTGTCCTCTAGGCCTTGGATGGCAGGATCTACGAGCACGTGAAAGACTACCTAGTAGCCCTGTGTCGTACGGAGCTAGAGGCCTCCCAAGCTACACACAACACCTTCCAGTTCCTGTTGGACAAGTCCACCAGGGTGAGTCAGATGTGGTGAGAGACACAGAGCCTCTGTGCTCATTTACTACTGGTATAAATGCAGTGTTTTTGCTCTCAGAATATAAACTGTGGGGAATAGCCATCAATCTTCTTGACATCCTAGCATGATCAAAGTGCGTAGTTTGCAAAAAGCAATTTATTGTATGTACCATATTGACACCTTGACATTTTGAGTTCATTTCTTACTACTAGGTACTATTATTCTTGCATTACATAGAAGGTGACGTGTGCCTAGGATTGGGGTTTGGAGGCATTGCTTACAGAAAGTATTTTATTAAAAGCAGTTTACTGAGAAATGTGGAAATGATAACAAGGACACCAAAAGTGAAATAAAACAACAAAAAAAGGGGATGTCTTATTATATATTTGTAATATGGTTAGTGCACCTGCTGTGTATTTGATATTTTCTGCCTGTGTGTGTATGTTTGCTTAAAGCTTGTGGTCTACTCCAAATGAAAGTAGAACCATTTTAAAAGGATAAAATGATGGATTTTACCAAAACCCCACACTGGTTTTCATCAGCAGGCTAGCTAGCAGAAGTGCTGAGCTCAGTGCTTCACAGTACACCATCACCTGCAGCTTGCATCCTGCAGCTTGCATGGGTGTGCCCAGGGGGTGGGCCTGGCCACCCCGAGAAGCTGATTGGCTACCACTGTAAGAGTCAAAATGTGATGATTGTCACTATTCATAAATAAAAACAGTGACAAATTGTTTTCTTAAATACAACTAACATTTTTCTGGTGCTTTATAATTGATATTGGTCAAATAATTTCAAATTAAAATTTGCCATATTTTATGCCATGCATGCAGCATGATGTTTGCAGTCATTTCTTCCGCTGTATTGTTAGTACTAGGCATGATTCACCTCGGGGCAGTAGCCATGTCCTTGGCTGGGAGTAAATGAGGAGCACAGCCAAAGTTAGCTAAAAAGCACTGTGTGTCTCATTTTTGCACAAAATAAATAAGATATGGTATATTAGTTCATAGAACTAGGGGTTCAGTTTACTTTTTACATGTCTTTTAAATGTGCTACCCCTTTCTGAGTCTGTGCTCTAGCCTGGCCGCCCCACACAAAACTTTCTACATGTGCTTCTAGTAGCTCGTCTTCAGTGTTATAGCTCAGTCTAGTACTTGGAGTTCTATTACTTTTTGCATTTTAAATCTAAAGGAACATAAATTCTAGCCCTAATTGCAAGCTCACTGACCTGATATGGATGCCACACTCAAAATATCAAAACCAAAATCTCTGTGTGACAATGAAATACTCACCATGTGTAGGCCTGAAAATGTGGCTGTAAAAGTTTGTTTGTTCCTTCACAGGCAATACAAGCTGTGGTCATGACATGTTTTCACATCAGAAAACCTGCATGTAAATGCACCAGATTAACATTCTCCTTCTGCCTTTCTCTCATTCTCTCAGATAATGCAAGAGTTCAACCAGCAGTTGTTTATGCAGGAGAATCCCGTGTTTCACAAAGCACACGACTTCCAGTTCCAGCCCAGTGACTGTGACAAGGTCAGACACCCAGTGCCGCACACACATCCACTGCATTCATATCCGTACACGTGCAGGACAGTGCTAGTTTGTTACTGAATGCATATATGAACCAGTCCATTGTAGCAGGACAGTCAGTGTCTCTCATCAGTTATGATCAAACGTACTCGTACACACAGAGAGATGCTGTAATAATCTGCCTCTTGTGCTGCCGCATGTGGGCTTTTTCCTTCTCCTAGTTTTTCTGTCCCCTCCAATATTGTATATTACATCTGTGGCTTAAGTATTTAGCTCTCAATTAGTTTAAAGCAGTGACCTTTTATTCTTATAATTTTAGAGAATCTCATTAATAACTCTGGGGCTGTGAGGCTTTCTAAAGTCTGATCTTAGGTTTCCAGCATTAGATTTCTTTATGTTAACAGTTTAGACTTACTGTAACTAATGTCAGGTGACAGCATGATAGATGCATGAATCTACTCTGTGTTCTAATTTTAATACCAAACATTGTATGTCCATTGGGAACCTCTCTTTGTAGTCCTAGATTTTTTTTTCTGCACAAGGTAATTTAAAAATGGTTTCAAATCAAATGGCTGCTGAATGTTAAAAATATTTCAAATTGCTGTTGGTTGATCAAGGTCTGTGTGATTATTATGTAGCAGTGGGAATCCTGCTGTCTCACCCCTCTGGGATCTCTTGTTAGATATTGCTGGCTAGAAAAGAGATGTGTCCCAGTGGACATTGGTCCTAATTCCTCTGTAGAGTAGCTCCCAACACTATCCTTTTCTCCTGTCTGTCATTCTGTGCTCTCATGTTTTTCAGCTT